TCAAAGATTCTGTGAACTGCCATGATGTCTTAGGAAAGACATTATAGGAATGGCCATCTGGTCAATTTCTCCATAGTTTTAAATTCAGAATAATCCTTCTTCTAAACTGGCTGTCACTCAAGGCTAGAGGTCACCTGGTAATTAACCCATACCTGTGGGGGTAAAATACATTCAGGCTTTCTACAAAAGCATTTGCGCGAAAGTGAATGCAACAGACTCAGCTGGAACTTGAAATCAGCTTGCCACTTCCACTTCCCATGCCTATAACCATTACACCACTCACACATCCAGTAGAAGCTTCACTTAGTCAACCATATTCCACATTCTTTAGCTTGTATCAAGTCATGTGTTTAAAACAGAGTAAAGATTTGGTACCACAAGGTGTCATGATTAGTGAGTTATCTAGATGACTATTATTTCTAAATAGTGAGTTTAATCCTTAATGGATGCCCCATACTTGTGCCAAACTAAGCTTAGTAAAAGGAGCAGAGAGTTATGTCCCTTGAAATAATCTATTAGAGATTCGTGTGGATGTAGATGGTTGGGGGTAGGTATCGTAAAGGTGTTTTAATTTATTTTACTATGGAACTCAATCCATTTCATTTGTGCCTTAAAGAATTTATTTCAATCGATAAATAAACAAGCCAGTTGCTTGCAAAACTTTTAAATTCAAAGAATATATAAACCAATTGATTTTCTGGTTGTGCCAAAGTTTACTTTTTACATGTCAAAAGCTTTTCATGGCAAGTATTTTTCAACTACATTAATTTCTGCTTAAAACTGGGAATCTTTTTTAAAAATCCTTCAGTAGAAGTATTTTCTTAATGTAAGTTTTTTTTCAATTATGTATTTTTGTCATCAATATATCAAGTATTGTTTTGTTATTTATCTGCTAGTGTCTTTGTTATGACGATGACAGACTGCTTCCTTTTCACTGCTGGGAGGTGAAAAAAAAAACAACTTTGTAAAAGAGCAGCATACAGCAATAATAATTGGAAAAAACATGAGGGTTGCTCTGAAAGTAATGCCTCCTATTATGCTGGCCCACAATGAAGGCTGAACCTTCCATCAATTGATAGCTTTTGCCTTGTTACAGCTAATCAGCAGTCTGGAAAAATGGTGTCTCACATGAAAATACATATGAAGTAGAGGCATGCTAATAAATTCCTTTAAAAAAACAAAAGCATTTATGGAAACCAAACAATGGATGTGAGCACAGTTAAGTAGTAGGTAATGCATTTCAGCAATCACAACAGCAATGTGCATGAAAATCCATGTTCAGGGCAGTTCTGCATAACTATCACTCCTTATTTACTGTTGACAAAAAAGTATAGCAAATGGTAGTAACTACTGGGAAAAACTTCTTGTTGCTGAAAACTTGCTCCATTCAACAGTATTGGTAAAACTAGTTGTTTTCATATAGGAAACATTTAGCATTCACTGACTTTCAGTTGAAATTTATAAAATTTTATTCTTAAAACAGTTCTTCAGAAACTCAGACTTCTCAGGTTCACTAAATGTTATAACTCTTTCTAATATTGACAAGAGTTTCCTTCCAAAGTTTTACTTTTTGGTAGTGTGGAAAGTTAACAGTTAATAATATTATTCTCTTCTATGTGTTATCCATGTTTGTTAATATCGCCGTTGAAGTGTTCAAGTGGTGTGGTTTTCGTTATTTGGTAAAGCTATTTGTGATTTTTGAGTTTTTTTGTCTTTTTTAAGAGCTAAAAGGATTAATTCCCATGAAATGATTTTTAATCAGGCATCTGAACATAGCTGAGTTTTGACACGGACAAGTTGCACATCATGCATGACAATATATGAAAGTCTAGATCTGAAAAGGCTATTTAAGAATATTTTGGTTTTGTAGCATTGTATGGTGTTGGCCAAAAAATCCCATAGCACAACCTCTCCTGTGTTCAATTTCCTTATCTTCTCTACTAAATTTGTTATAACTGATAACAGGCGTTGGTGCCATCACTAGTCTCATTCCAATTCCAGATCACAGTTTCTGTTTTTATCTGAAATTCTAATTCTTGGAATACTTGGTATAGAATTTTGATTTTTTTTTTCAAGATCATGCTTATACCAACTATAAACAGTTATATGTTCATAGTTGATATAATCGAGTGATGCTATTGTAGGATCTGTATTTGTTGTAATTTCTATAGAGAGAAATGGAAGGAATTACTTTTCAGATGGTACCTTGTATTTAAAATGCTGTCAGTTTTTATATATGGTGCTGGTAATCTCTTATTTTGTAAATCTTTAAATTAAAATTTTTTAAAGTTCACAAAAAGTAAATCAAAGGACTAATATAAACTGTTAATTGTTTGTTAAGTTGCTGTCGGCATTATATTAATCAATAATCTATCATTTATGCCAGCAGTATATTATCATTGATTAGGTACTGATTTATATTCTACATGCACTGACAAAGGTACATCACAGAAAACTAACTAAAATACCTGGTCAGTAACTAGATGGGTGATTGTTTGGGAATATCAGGTGCTGTAAGTTTTAGATGTGCAGGTGTTGTAATGGATAATGGCTCAGAATTGTTAATTAGAGACCAGAGTTCCAATTCCTGTTGTGTTCGTTAATTTCACTTATGTTCAAATATCCTTGAGAAAGGTATGAATCTTTTTCCTCCCAGCTAAGGGGTAATTAGTAAAAATTGTATCACTAAACCATTAGTATCAAAAAAGAAAATCCTTACAATCTCAAAATATTTTCTGGCTTCAAATAACCTGCAAAGGGTTGATAAGCCATAGAAAACAAATCAATCCAAAAATTTAACTAGAACATTTTTGTAATCAAAAAACTAATCTGTTATATCAGCACAATATACTTAAGTAAAAAGTAGGCATTCATCAGTCTTGGGAGACTATAGAGTTTACTAATCCCTGTTGTAGGCATATTTATGTTTCTATACTGCCTACAAAGGTAATATGTGGTTTATACTACAACTATACTGAGAAGACCTTAGAGTTTCTGAGAGACAACACATAATCTGGTGTTATCAACTGTTTGAACAAGGTCAGTATGTTCAAAGCCTCGATTATGACAATTTGTGATTTTGTGCTAGCACAATCACAAATGTCTTCTAAATAATTTTACTCAAAAAACTTGGATCAACTTGTGGTATGGTCTTCAGAAACTTTCCAACAATACCACACACTGGCACCATTTCCACAGGAAAATATGACCAAGAAGTCACCTCTTTGACAAATTGACCATAATGCGATGTGTACTCAAGTCTCAGGGTCAGAATGATAATGATTTGGTCACTCTGTAATGTACCCACTTATACTTAAGTATTCCTATGTTGATTAAAAACAAGATTATCAAGTGTTTTGGATAAACAGCTAAAACATAATTGTTAATTCAAAAAAAAATATATATAATAGCTGGAAGTTAAAACAAATAAGAGATGAGAAAATGACGTAACATTTTCAAGTTTTGTCAACATTTCGTGAGGCCAAGTGAGGTCTTGGCTAATAAACTTTCTGATTCTAATAACAAAATAGATCACCTTTTTGATCGATCCTTTGAAAAACAAGTAAAACTTACATTAAAATATAGCATAAAAGATGGACACAAATACAACAAGTAGATTAAACTCTTTAGCAGCCAATCCTCCAAGGCCCAGGAGATCAATGCAGGCATTTCCAAAGGCTTCACTTCTCAGTCCAACTCACGTTCTGCTTTACATTAGTGATCTGTCTGAGAGTATATTCCAATTCTTTGTGAATATCTAAGCAGATAATAGAATGGTATATATGTGCACTTCCAAAATCCTAGATGACCAAAGCCTGACAGCCGATCTCTCCTTTGATCTACTTCTAATTGCTCAAAGTGGTTAAAAAAAATGGCTGGTCACATTCAATACCTTAAAAACTAAACTAGTAATGTTCCATCATCATCATCACCAGTAGGCAGTGATTTTTGTCTATCACAATAAACAGGTGTTCTTTCAAGTAGCCCCTTTACCTTGAATACCTATTATCACTTACGCTCACCCCATACCCAGACCTGAACACAGATATATGATCCGTTGCTAAATATACTGGAAAAATGCTTGGTTCCCTGTACTGCACCAGCAAGTACCTAACTCCTCCTGCTATCCTCTACCTTTACAAGAGTCAGATCAGGTAAAAAATGGAGTACTGATGTAATATATGGGCTGGAGCTGCCTAGTCTTCATTTTCCAGTCTACATAGAATACAAAAACGTCTACACGGCCATGTGGGAGATTAATTATTTTTCCCCCTACAATCCCTTTCCCACAGATGAAAAGGTTGCAAGTCTCTCACTACTCTATTGCTATTTCCATGTAAAATGTTCAGACAAGCTACATTGCTTAGTTCCACCTTCACAGCTAGGATCTGCCATGCCATGTACACTATGGGAACCACCCTCATTCTATTCATATTCCATCAGTGAGAAGTAAGTTCCAGTTGGACAGCTTCTACCCATGAACCACTACCTTGTAGAATTGACTCCCATGAGGATGCTTCCCCAACCACTACAATCTTAAGCTGTTCAAGTCTAGGTATAATCATTATCTTTCCTACATATCCTCCAAAACTGTGACTCTTACTCTTTCCACTCACAAAACACAGTCTTTCAGTAAACCTCTACCTCGAGTGATTCTTGGGCCTTGCATAGAGTAAACATAAAAACAGTCTTTATAAAGAGGGGGAAGAATAGTAAAAAGACAAACATTGTTAAAAGCTACAAAGGATAGGAAGTTGTGGAGAGCTATGATGGTATCTTGTGGATATATAAGGCATCAAAATTATGAAATTTAACTAGAAGTAGTTCAAATAATTATTTATCAGATATCTCTCAATATCCATGATTGCCAAAGATGTAACTATCCCTGGAGATACTTGGGAGGTAATAGAAACAGCTTGTCCAGTTATTGAAAATTTGAACCCCATATGAAAAAATAAATGAATGAAAAAAAAAAGAAGTTTTTCTACACATCTACCAACCTGTGACAAGTTTCTAGGGGAAGTGGGCGGCATATCCGTGCTGTGTATCTGAAATACCTCTTCAGAATTTTCTGTCTTTTGTTCTTCGGCAGCTGGTTCCATGTCTACCACAAGATTGTCAAAGAAATCATTTGCTGTGCATTCTCCCATACTAGATGATGTAAAATAACTGCTGATTGAAGGTTTGTTGTCATTAACCTCATCCTCCTTGGCCATCTCCTCTGTAGGGCAAGGGACTGTGGCTTGCTGGTCATCACAGGTCTTCATTGAACCGCAAGGTAGGAAAGAATTGTTTAAATGACATTAATATTGGGAATCTTTGAATTGGTGAAAATGATATTTTTTATCTAATTTTTTGTTAATACTGAATTGCACCACAAATCTATAAGATTATCATCAAAACAGATTCTAATGGATTAATTATAAAAGTATATCACAATTTCCTATATAAGTACATTGATAAGGATTTATAATAAAATGCATTACAAACAACTTCATAACAACGAATTGTCTACATCTGAATAAGAAGCCACTTTAGTCTTATTTATTTAAAAAAAAAAAAAAAAAAAAAAAAGTAATTTTTCCAAACTTTTCTTCCGCTTACACTATTTATATTCAGAGTATTATCCTCATCTTTGCTGTTGCGCTCACAATGTTTTGTCCATTGTGCCTTTTGTGCATATCAATCTGGGTAACCAACAGGGAATTCTGAACTGAACCCTTTATTTCATCTACAGGGGGTAGACTATTTTCATTCCACTGTTCATGTCTACAGATATTGTCGCGTTATTTCATTTAGTACTGTTCAGTTATTGCTTGCCTGTTTCCAATGAATGCAAGTACACTCTGCCTGACCCAAGGATTGAACTCATAATCACTATGTCACCAAATTCACAAACCTGGCTACTGATCAAGTTTCAACTGCTGCGTTGGCTGGCTCTCATGTTTTGACTACTGCTGCTGCAATTGAAGCCTTGCTGTCATTTGTCTTCCTTTCTTTATCTATGTCTCCCATATAGTATTTATTTCTATGCTAGGCCTACTAAGGAGATCCATATGGCCTAGCATATGTGCTGATTCTTTCAGACATCTAAAGATTATAAGCAACTCGTTTATAATTCACTGTACACAAATTTGACTAAAACAACTCCACACTAACATTAGCATAGCTTAAGCAACTAGTTACAGTTGGAAACTTCCTTGCAAGGGTGAATATCATATTTTGATTCTACACTGTTTTAATGGTAAGTCTGATTCAATAAGGTCAAATCAAATAATGGCAGTTAAGCTCAAAAATGACATACAATCTGTTAACTGGAGTAAAAAATGTCTTGTTAATTTTAACACCTCCAAAATAAAACTGCTTGCTTTTAATCGCCTCAGAGAACCTTTTTTGACTTCCATCAGTATGGCTGATGCTAACTTTCAAGAGAGTGATTCCTTGTTACTTCTCAGGCTAACATTTTCTGCTGACATGAAGAGGAAAGATTATATTAAATAACTGAGCAGTACTAAATAAGATATTCCAAGACATGGACAGCTGAATGAGAACAATCTACCTCTCCTCTGTAGATTAAAGGGTTCAGTTTGAAATTCCGTGAATATTACCTGGATCAACAAGCACCTGATGAAAGCCAGAGGGTACAACAGCTAAAACATTGTGCTAACAACAACAAAGATGAGGACAATACAGGGTGCGATGGATAAATTATCACCATTTTATATTTTTAATTTTTTGTATGCATGTTGTTTGTTTTTGCCAACTGCACAATATAGTAGGGTCAGTTGGGCATCATTTGTAAGAAAAAGAGCACTATGACACAATTCACTCCACCAGAAATTTTGAAATGGCATGCTGTACTGCAACCTCCAATACGAACATTTCAGATTGTTTGGGAAGAGGATTCAGAAAGAGTTGGATGAGTCTAATGGTGATTACGAAGGTATGGCAGCTTTCAAAACTCACTCTGATCGTTCTGATAAGAACTCCCAAATTTGGTATCTGTCTATATTTCTGAGATGAGGTATTATGTACACTATTTACATTATTTGGACTATTGTCCTCATCTTTGTTGCCACAACATTTCGGCCAACGTACGCTCCGGCCATCTTCAGGTGGTTGGAATGTCGAACTGAACCCTTTATTTCGCTCACTGGGATAGACTGTCCTAGTTCCATGTGTCATGTCTAATGGATGTCAGTTATCAGTTATCTCCTGTTAATGGAGAACTTGAGAGGGGAATTTACAGGAGATAACTGATAATTTATCAGAGAAAATACAAAGGATCCGCGGTCCATATAAAATCAGGACAACCTTCAAAAGCTGGACAACACTTCAGATACCTCTCCCAAATAAGACCCCCTCATAGAGGAGAACATGATTAAAGAGTGTGCGTATGCCATCCCGTACAGCTGCGGAAAGAAATATAAAGGGGAGACAGGCCGCACACCCTTAAGGTAAGGTTTCAAGAACACCAAATAGCTGTAACATGAGGGGAAGTGCAAAAATCAGGCGCAGCTGACCACATATGGAGAGAAAAGGGAGATCACTGGCTTCTTTGAGATCAGGTTGAAATCATAGACAAAGAACACCATTGGAAAATTCGTAAACTTAAGGAATCAGCACATATGCTAGGCCACAAAATCTCCTGAGCCGATCAAGCAAAGAAATGAATACAATATGGGAACCAGTAATAAGGAGTTCCAGAGAAAAGCAATAATAACAACGAAAATTGCAATATGAGCTCTGGTAAAAAACATGCAATGATAACAGCAAAAATTGCAATATGAGAACTGGTAAAAATGATTGCTGAAGACATTAAGTTTATAAGTCCCAGAAATTCATACACAGATGTGCTTAAGGACACATGGTATGGTGGATAAAGGTGTTGGTCAGATCTAGTGACAGAACCTAGAGTTGTGAGTTCAATACCTGGTTAAGGCAGTGGAGAACTTGGAGAGGGGAATTAACAGGAGATAACATGGCATTAGAATAGTCTACTCCAGTGAGCAAAATAAAGGGTTCAGTTCGACATTCCAACCACCTGAAGAAGGTCGGAGCATACATCGGCCGAGCCATTGTGATAAATTTGGCAACAAAGATGAGGACAATAGCCTGAATAATGTAAATAGTGAACTCCCAAATATGTTGGTGAGATGATTGAAAACAATCCCTCCAATCAGGTCCATAGGCAAGGATTTTTTATCGGGCAGGTAGTGCATGAAGATATTTGGTAGATGAGAAAGGGCCAATTTTTATCCCAAGCCATGAAGGACAAGAGAAAAGACTGTACTATGAAGCTCTTGAACAAACTCAAGTATCTCCTTCAACCGAACATGCTTTAGTTTTTCTCAGATGAGAAATATTTCTGCCAGGATAAGATGGTGAACACACAGAACAGCCATTGACTTGCTGTCTCCCCAAAGGTATACTGAGAGTGATGAAAACCAAATATCTCGTCAACATCATGGTGTTCAAAGTCATCAATAGTGATGGCAATGTTATGCCTCCATTAATCTTCCTACAGGACCTCAGATTCAACACAGAGACTCATGCCTTGAGTGCTGCTCTGGGTCGAGAGGGTGGCTGCTGGAAGACCCTATGCAACAAGACTCTGCACTATGCCACCCACACAGAACAACCTACTCATGGCTGTCAAACAATTTCTGCGACCACATCACCCCTTACATCTGGCCACCTAACTCCCCAGACTGCAACCCCCTCGATTATTATGTGAGGTGCAGTTGAGCAAGAGACCAACAAAACTCCTTGTAAAACCAAAGAAGGCAAGGATTATGGCAGCATTCACCAACTTAAACAAAGAGACTGTCCAGAAGAGTTACAGGAGATTCCAAAGTCATGTAGAAACCATTGTTAAAGCCAATGGCGATTTTATTGAATAAATATACTCTTTAGTATTTCAAGATATTTTTGTGTAATTTTGGTAAATATATCTGTTAAAATGAGATGTCAGTGTTATTTTCATTTTTACACCATACAGACAATAATATATCCATCACACCCTGTAGTTTGCAGGTAAATGATATAAATAAAAGTTACAAAATACATTATTTTATACTGTATTCACATATTCTACCAACTGTACTAGATACTTTCTATATTCCATTTGTAAGGAGAATGTTTCACTCAGCTTTTTTCAAAGAACTGCTACTACTTTGTGGAACAAACTCTATGGATGCTTCCTTGAACACTACAATCTTAACCTTTTCAAATCAAGGGTCAATCACTATCTATCCACTTTATTTTCACTTCCTTTTGTATTTATATCAAACACTTCATTTAGTAACCCTCTACCATAAGTGGATCTTGAGCCTTGTATTGGATAAACTTTAGTATTAAAAATAAATTTAAATGTCTTATCTAGCATAAATAAATTAAGCAACCATTTAAACAACTTGAGTGCTAATTCTTGCATAACAATCTGAATAGTGGTCAAAATCCTAAGTTGTTTATAAAAACAAAAATTATGTTTTATACTTATTTATGTACAATGTCCTCTCTTAGTTTTCTATTTAAAAAGCATAAATGCATTCTTCTTTTTTAATCATTTCACCCCAAGCAAGGCGATAATGCCAGTAAGACATAAGAGATTACTGGGAGTGAAAGAGAATGAGAAGACTTTAGGAGAAGTGATAGGAAATGCAATCCTAAACAAGGGACAAGCATCGATTCCTGTTCAAAAAACTGGGTAGGAGTTTAAACTGGACAATAGGCAAACCTATCTACTCCTATTGAGGAAAAAAATGAAAATAAAAAAATAAATAGTAAATAAAATAACAGAGTTTAAGCAAAGACATTAGAATTATAGAGTTGAAGTAGACTTTAGAAGGAACCAGAAAACCAAATCCTAAACAGGAAAACAAAGGATAAACTTCTACTCCTGTTCAAAAGACCAGGGAGGAGTGTGAACCTGATGATAGGCAAACATATCTACTCCTATTTTATTGTGCATAATGCAACCCTTACTTAACTATGCATGGATTGTGTGAAATGGTGCAACATTTTGCTTTATTATACAGTTTCACAATTTGGCAACTGAAAAGTTCTCAGCCCAACCAAGAAGTCTTTCAATCCAGAATTCTGATGTTTAATCAGATTTTGGAAAGTGAGTCAGACCAAGCACTTTTCAACGCCTCTTCATAGAAGCCAGTGTACAATATCTTTTTGATGGGGGTAAAGATGTGGGTTTATACCATGAAAGACTACCTGCTTTGAAAGTGGTTATTCACAAAAAGTAAACCAACTTCTGTCAGAATTTCTGAGGTGAGGAGTTATCATTATTTACATTAAAACTAATATCCTCATTTTTGTTCCAATTAGCACAGTGATAACAACAACAAAGATGAGGACATTAGTCCAAATGTAAATCAACATTGCAAGTCATTCTAACCAGGGAAAAACACTTGCCTACACAGGTTAGCCATTAATGAGAAGGAGTGGACTGTAAAATGGGATCATTGTATATTACAGTTAATATAAGTAAAAAAATTTTGTTTAATACTAAATTTCACCCAAATGTGTGATATGAATGAAAGAGAAGGTAGTAAGAAGTAAAGATTATGAGGAACAACAACAATTTACTCTTGACTTGTAGTATTCAGGGAAGCACTCATGTAAGAGTCTGTTCCACAAAGTAGCAGTTCTTGGGGGAAAAAACTGAATGGAACTTTCTCCCTATATTTGGAATATGGAGGGAATGAGGCTAATTCAACTCTGTGGAAATGGCATAACATGTTCTATTGGTAGAACTAAAGTATGAAGCTAATCTGAACAGTTGCCATAGAAATAATGAGAGTTTAGTAATAAACATTGCATCTGTGGGAAAGCAGCAGCAGGGTGGAGAATTAAGTTTTTCCCTATGGGCAAAATGTTGCATGCCTATTGCTACTCTATTGCTATGTCTATGGCAAATGTTCAGACAAGCTACATTCCTTAGTTCCAACAGTTCAGATCTTTACAGCTAGGATCCGGCATATCATGTACATAGGGTTGAATCATCCTCATTCCCTTCAGTAAAAAGTAAAATTTTTCATCAGTAAAAAAGAAGTTTCATACAAACAGCTTCTTCTGTGGAACAGATTCCTAAGAGGATGCTTCCCTGATAACTTTTCAAGTCTTACATATCTTTCTAATTTGCACTTGCTTCCTCTTCTTACGTCCAGCTTTATGGCCATATCATGCTGAAACACTAGTTCACTTACAATCACCAAAGTTAAGTAATGTTGAGCCTGGTCAGTACCTAGATGGGTGCCCACTTGGGAACACCAGGTGCTGTAAGCTTGGATGTGTGGGTGGTGGAAAGGATAAAAGCTCAGAATTGGAAAGCCAAGTTCTAGTCAGGTTTGTTATATGTACAGATACCTTTAGGAAAGATATGAATCCACCTCTTCTTCCCCCCAGCTATGGGTTAATTAGTAGAACTTGTATCAGTATATCATTATTATCTCCATAAAAATTCTTACACTCTAAAAATATTTTCTGGCTTTAAATAAACTACAAAAGGTTGAAAACATGGAAAAAAATCAATCAATTCTCTTACAACCATACAACCTCATTCAGTAAGCTGCAACTGTAAGTGGCTCTCTTGTACTGTGTGAACATTTAGTTTAAAAAAAGAAGTAAAAAAGACAGATTGTAAACAATTTCAGACACTATTAAGACTGGAAAGTGAGGATTGAGTAGCTCTAGCCCATGTGTGACAACAAGTGTCCATTTCTGGTCTAATCTGACCCTTAATATAGCATAGTAAAAGGAGTCAGGTACTTTCTGGAGCAATAGAATGAGCCAAAACAGCTCCAGCCCAGATATAACATCAATACTCCATTTTTGGTCTAACCTAACTCTTGTAAAATAGTTAAACTATTATATTTATGCCTAATCTGAATCCTGTTTGTGATTTTGACTTAATTAGGAAACATAAACAAAACTCCTTGCACAAAATAATACAGCAATATAAGCAATATAGAGAAAAATATTACAGGTAAATTGAAATTAAAAAATATATTACCACCACTTCCGGTGAGCTCTCTTCACAAGTTTCAGCAATAAGAGATGATAGTTCATCAGTAGTAGTTGTTATTGTAATGTTTGTGCAGTTGGTTACCATGTTATCTTCTGTCAAACTTTCTTTTGTTGGTTCTGTTACAGCATCTTCCATTTCTGATACCGTTTCACAAGGCTCATCTTCCAGCACGGCTTCTGTTGGCGAAGATTGTGGTGAGGCTGACAAAGATGTTGCTTCTATTGATTTCATTTCTGATTCCATTTCCGCTGTTGTTGGCGGCAATGATGCCTCTGTTATTTCTGTTGCGGCTGCCATTATTTTGTCCTCTTCTTCAGCTTTAGATGATTCCGATTCCAACGCCGTTGCTGCTGCATCTTTCTCTTCCTCCTCCACCTCTGCACCTCCATCTCTTTCCTTTTCTTGCAGCTCCCTGAACTCAGATTCATCAGGGATTGGGCTTGGTGGATCACTTTGCTCAAGATCCCCATCCTGGGTTTCACTGCCGTCTGATGGCTCCAGCATCACAGAATCCAGTGTGTCGGTCGTTGGGGAATGGATCATGGCTGCACTGACTGAATCCTGGTCAATGTTTAAGTGAGCAGTGTTGACAATGTCTGAAATGATGTCATCGTCATCATCCAAACACACCGACTGCTCCATCGTCGGTTGAAGCCTGCAAAGAAAAGAAGTGATCAGAAATCAATTGTATGTGTAGGATCAAGGCAAGAGCAAAGAACATTCTCAAAGTTTTCCCATTGGAGAAAAGAACATTAAATAAATTAAATATAAGACAATAGTTTATTTTATACATCATAATTCTAACTTTATATATTTCATTGGGTTGTCAGGGCAAAATTGCATCAGCTTTCGCTTAAAAATCAAACTGAGTACTTTCAAGTAGGATACAGACTTACTGGCACCACATATTTAACTCAAATTTTTTTGTAGAAATTATCAATTTTTGATTAGTATTTATTTCATCTTATTTCTGTTTTTTTCTGTCACAATTCTCAGATCATCAGTCTATAAAAGTTTAAATGATAATGTTTCATATAACAAATTCATCAAACCATATAATAATTATCGATGTGTATTTATTTATATATTTCCTGTCCCATTTATAGTGGGAATGGAGATAAATCAACTTTAGTAAATTTATGAGTAATTATTTTGTTAAATTATTTTAATAATCTATACAAATGAAATATTTATCTGCATTTAGACAAAATTAGTTTCCAAGTAAAATAAACCATTTAATTAATCAGTTCCTTTATTCCTATGTTTCTTAGATTACAATCTCATTTATTCAAGCCTTTCATGTGAGGCACTGAGATACCTTTGTCTATTAAATGATTGTCTTGCTTTAACTTGGTCTTGAAATAAGCTCTATCCTTCTGAAGATATTTCAAATTCAGTTATATTAAACACATAAAATTTTTTAACATGCAAAGACATTGAGAAAAAAGCAATTATATAATACCAGGAGTAATCAATGAATTGAATTTCTAAAAAATATAAAGGGAAGAGATTAATTAAACAGTTCATTGGCCTCTATTTTAGTCATGAATTCTTTATCTCTGCTTTATTGAATCTCAGTACATTGTTTCAAGACTTTTGTTTGATTGCATCTCACTATTAAAATTTTCTAACAACTGCTGTCATTTTTGATGAAATGGGTACAATAGATTTTAATAAATTCTGTATAAACCCAGAAAGATTTTGTTAAAATTAGCACCATTTTATTTTTCAAAAGACAACCAAAAGAAATATATTGTAGCAAGTAAATAAAAAGCTTAAACAGGTAAAAAGGCCTGTGAAACCTATATGATTTTTGCTCAATCCACCACCCAAAATCTGACCAAATGACTAATCATAGTGGACGTGGGGAGAGGGGTTGATTGCTTCCTGATCTACCAATTAGTTTATCAAATCTTGCTATAGAGTAACAAGAAATTTTGTCTGAATTTCTGTGATGAGGACTACAGTTGGATTAATATCCTCACTTTTGTTGTTATTATGACAATGTTTTGACCATTGTACATACCCTCCAGCCTTTTTCAGATGTCTATCAGTCCAGGTAACCTTTAGGGAGTTTTGAACTGAACCTCTTATTTAATTTAGTTAGGTAAATTGTTCTCCTTCTACTATCTTGGAATATTTCATTCTTGTTCTTATTTAGTACTGCTCAGTTATTGTTCACTCTGTTTCCATTGAGTTTAAGTTTGTACTACCCAGCCCAGGGATTGAACTCACAATTACTATGTCACCAAATTCACAAACCAAAGCATTAATCCTCCAGGCTATTGTTCCATGGGACAATAGCCTCATGAGAAATTCACTAAAGGTTACCTAGATCAACAGATACCTGAAAAAAAGCCAGAGGGTACAATGGACAAAACATTGGAATAATAACAACAAAGATGAGGATATTAGTCTGAATGTAAATAATAAAAAAAATTTAAATAATAAATCAATAAGTCTGTAGCCTGACACTGTTATTAGCTGAATTTTGATATGAAATTTTAGCCAATTTTTAATCTATGATTAATATTTACCACTAAATTAAGTGTATTGACAAGGAAGATCAGATTGAAAAAGAATTGTTGCATAAAAATAAGCTTTCTTTTTGCATTTTGAGGCTACATACTTATTGACAAAGTTATGTTCAACAAAATGTCATAGAATTAAAAAAGAAATGTCAAAATATTTAACAGCAATATATATCAATTCAAATGGGAAAACCTATATAATATTTTTCATTTGGAAAAAAAAAGAAAAGAATGTCTGGATTTTCAAAAGTTGGACTTCAGTGAACCAAAGACAACATGCAGAAGCTACCAAAATTGGCAGAGTTTTACTTTGGCACTTTACCAAAACAAATCCAAAAGGTTCATTTCCAATTCAACTTTTAGGTCTCTTTAATAACTATAGTTAATTTGGAATCCTACTGGTATTCATTTAATTGATAATGGTTTACATTTAATATAAAAATATAGGTAAAAAAGTAAAATTCTCTTTCTCTCTCTTGTGTGTGTGTGTATATATATATATATATATATATATACACACACACACATACACACACACATTCATTAAAACTGACTGACAAAGTACTACAGTTAAGTTTTTTTTATTTTTCATGTATTCTTATAATTTTCTTCTTTTCTGGATGTAAATTACATAGAAATTGTCCAAATGTTTTGTATGTCCAAGTGTTTTCTTCTATACTTTTAGCCATTATTGGACATACAAAACATTTGGATAATTTCTATGTAATTTACATCCAGAAAAGAAGAAAATTATAAGAATACATGAAAAATTAAATAAAAAAACTTAACTGTAGTACCTTGTCAGTCATTTTTAGCAAAACTTGTATAAAAGAGGGGTTGCTACCTAAATACATAATTATATATATATATATATATAGTAACAAATGAAATTAAATATTGACTTATCTGACCCTACTCTGAGTTTTGTAGAGATTACATCCACTCATCAAGGGACTTGATTGTAAAATTGAATTTATTTACAGAAATAAGACATTACTTAATTTTCTCTAAAAAGATATTAAATTATGATATAAATTTATTTTAAACTGGTTCTTTTTTTTTTTTAAACACATTGTATGACAAAAACCCATTTGAAATTTATTCAGATTAGACGTCACTGGTTAACTGGGTTTTTTCTGTGAAGTGGGGGTTGCAAAACACAATTTTTGTTATTGTTATCTATGTACTTTTCAGATGAGAACATAAAAAATGTTATTGAGATTGAAACTGAACCTGTTCAATACAGTTTGGTCATTTGAACAATATACATTTTCATATGCATAAAATATATAAACAAACACCATAATGTAGACAATAATAAGATTCAAGCCTAATGAGATGATAACCAAGGTAATTATTAAAGAGTTACTATTTTTTACCATCTTATTCACAGATTTTTATACAACAAAATGGTCTTCACCACTGGGTACTTTATCATCCAATTTGTCTATATATTGTATTTTTATTATTCAATTTGTCTGTATTTTTATTTTTAATGCTAAAATTCACCAAATACAAAGCTCAAGAACCACTCAAAGTAGAGTTACTGTTGAATTAAACAAACTGCAATTATAATCAACTTTTTCATGTAAATCTTATATTGAATTGCTTGATGAAAATTTATAATCATGTCTAATTCTGATATATTAAAATATAATCTTTTAAGTGAATAACAATTTCAAAGAATAGGATTTGATGAAATTACCTCTTGGATTTGCAGGAATTAAAAGTAAAACCCCTACCACTGCATCTACAAGCAAACCACATGTAATGACAATGTTCACCCCCTGCAAAATGTGTTGAATCAACTAAAATAAAAACATATTAATAATGTCCTTTTCTCTCTTGGTACTAGCACTGCAAATTATTGCACAAACTGGACAAAATAATTAGTTTACTTTTCTTTTTCTGTTTTAATGTTAAAAACATTTTATATGAGGATAAATTATAAAGATCGATTTCAACCAAATCCATTGCCCATTTTTTTCTCTTTCACAAGCTTTCCATATAAATACCTACTGCTGTCAGTTAAGTTTTTATTAATTTCAAACAGGATAATTACCACTTTTATATGCAATAATTTATAACTTCACAGGTTTGCAAGCAAGTAACATGGTTGCTCATTAGCAAAACGATACCAGGAATGTGATTTCATGACATTTTTATAGCCAAAAATCTACCTGCCCACCTAATTGACATCAGTTGATACCATAGAGTTGATAATCTTGTGAACTCCATAATCTTTTTAATAGCTGTATAGGATGACATACAGTTATGAATTCAGAGTTGTCCTTCTAGACTGGTTGCACACCATGGTTTGAGAGTCAAGTCTGCCTGCTATTTAATCCTTAACTTGGAAGATAAGAGACAGATTCATGCCTTTCCAAGGTGTATTTGTATGAAAGTGGACACAATGAACTTGACTAGAATTCAAACTCAACCACAAAGTGGCAGCTCTTGAGAAAAAGCTGAGTGGAACTTCCTCCTTACATTTGGTATACAGAGAAAATGAGGGTGATTTGACTCCATGGAAGTGATATGGCATGTCCTAGTTGTAAATGTCTGAACTAGTGGAACCAAAGAATCAAATATCCAAACAAAAGAAATTGACATTGCACAGGATTTCTTTATGACAAAATACAAGATAGGCAAATAGCCTACAGTGGCAAGCCAAAGAAATGCACCATCTAGCAAAAAAAAAAAAAAAAAAAAAATATCAATTGGTTTAATTTTTACTGAGAAGCTGTAAATATTTAACAACATACTTTCAAGAGTAGTATCTGTGGTCATCCAGGTTGTGTTGTGCTCATTTTTGCATTCACATTATCACAGAATAAAGAGGAGGTACAGATCTGAATGGATGGAGATACTGAAAACAGGGTATGTGAAAGTTATAAACCAGTTGATCATCTCCACATACAAAATGTTTTCAAACATTTCACATGTGAAATGGACCAAAAAAAACAGATTGCATAAACTCTGGAGTCTTCAATATGACTTAAATTTTAAAATGGGAAAAAATAGGTTTAGATGAAATGTCACAAAGAATGTATCAATGTAAAATTGTCAAAGAACTTGAAATATTGAGGCACTTTGTCCAAGTTACTCAGAAGAAGCATGCCAA